TATAAATACTTAGTACAACCTAACTTAAGAAATAAACAGAACCAGCCAAATTAAGACTTAGAACATGATTTTAAACTTGATTGTGTAATAATTAAGATTAAAAGGTCTATTTTGAGTTCTAGTACCTAATCTTATCAGGATCTTAATTCTTCGAAGGAAGATTTATTTAGATTTTATGTAGCTGGAAGAGCTAGAAGCCTTTTTTCTGTAAAAACCTTAAGCAGTTTATGTAAACAAATAAACATGGCTTTTTATACATAATTTTGCTTCCACGAATCAATTATTGACTACTTTTCTAAGTATGAGCGGAATAATGACCAGGTTGCTTCGAACCGTTGCGCCTTGCTGGGAGTCTTTACGAGAACAACACTTCCTAGTTTAGCAGTACACGTCATGTGACTCCTATGATGATGACGATGATTAGGGACTGAGTTATTTTTGTGTATAAAATCTAGTGAGTTTTATGACAAATATCGAGAACAATCGTGGATCTTACACACTTATTTGCTTAACATTACGTGAAAGAAATATTTGCAAATATTTGTAATTAGGTACCTACGTGTTGAAAGAAACATGTCAGTCTCATTCCACCCACATGTTCGACGAAAACAGTCTAGGTTTCCATGTAATTCAATTTCTCTTGGAGTTTTTCTGGTTCGGATCGTTCAACCATCACGCGACGCCTCGTTAGCTTCATGTTCGCTCGCGTGAAGGCTGAGAATTTCATCTGTCTGGGTCTGGGTGCCTTGCAAATATTATTTGATTATTCCAGTATTTTTCCCATATGAAATCTCACAGGTGGATTTGTGTGAGCCTATATCTGCTTAGCTGAGTCTTTGATCTTTCGATGTTGAAATTAAGTGTTTTTGTGTCTCAACGCATATTTTAAAATGAGAAAAGATATACTTAAGATATTTTTTATGTGGAAATTACGAAATAAAAAATAGTTTTGAGCTATTCAATGATGATTGCATTTTGTAATGCAATATTTGGGCGTATTCTCATCTAATACCTAGTAAACATAAGAAAACTTTTTGGAGAATTCTCCAGCTATTGACTAATTCGTTATAATTCAGCTCTAATTTTTTGTTGGTAAAAATGGGTCGTTACTGTAAAATGATTAACAGAAAAACAAAAAAAAAACATATAAAATAGGGACTAAAAACCTTGCTTGCATTAAAAATATAAGTCAAAAGTGAAAAGTGAAACGGTAAAGGTTGAAAGAGTCTATCATATAAAATATAGACAAGTCTTAAAACTATACGAGTGAAGTTATAAGACAAGTAATAAACTTGTCTACCTCGCAAATCAGACCTACTTTGATAATTGAAATGATATCAAACTTCACTCACTATCACATCTGTACTTAGACATTCCAGCTCTGACTTTAGTTTGGTCTCGTCAAAGTAGTGAACCTTCTCAAGTGACTGTCTTTGTTAATTAATTATTTCAATTTATATATTCTGTGTTAGTATCGTAGAAGGTGCCCTTTTTGACATTGAAGATGTACTGCGTATACTGAATACCACTCTCATCACATCATCAGCCTATAAGTGTACTCGCTGATCAAAGGCCTATCCTAAAACGAAGAAGGTTTGAGCATGAGCATTAATTACTACGCTTGCTCAATGACTTATAATTAGAAATTATAAATTCAGGTTTTCGTCACGCAGTTTTCTTTTACTGTTCATTAGTGGTGTCTATATAATCTTAGAATACTAAAATAACTTCTTACTTATAATCGTAGATATTACTCAGAAAATGTCACATAGGGACTTGTCATGTTTCGAACCTGAACCACTTCTATGAAAAGCAGTGACCTAAATCGTAGGGCTATTAGTATGGAAGATTCTTTTTAAAAAAAATTAAAATGGATTTTGGACCTACCATTCTAACTAAAATATAAGCATTAAATATTACTAAAACCTAAATGTGTTGTTAAATAAAACTAGTACGAAACCTCAAAAGATATTTCTTCTAAACCTAAGAACAATAAAATATTAAATAACTAAAGTAAGTTTCTGACACCCTTCAACACCTTGTTTTTAAATCTTTAACTATTTCTCAATAATATTATTTTTGTACAATAAAAGTTTTTCTTGAGGGGGGTAAATCATCAAAATAATGACTGCTCCCACCACATAGGGGGGACGAGGGAAAATGTCACTCCTCTTAGTGACTGAAAACCAACCCGTTCCTTCTTGTTCCAAGGGCCCTTGGTTCATAATTGTTACTACAAAACTATGATTTTTGTGAATGTTCGCCTGAAGTTAACAATAACAAAAATATTTGAGACTGTATTGTTTTCATATTTTCCTTTCAACTAAAACTTTTATTTTTATAAACGATTTTTGCCATTGTTTTATAACTTTGTAAAGAACATTTTATAATAAAATATTACGTAGGTAGGTGTACAAAAAAGAAACCATTCTGGGAATATTCTGTTCGCCATTCTTGAAAGGGAGTTTTAATTAATTTTGATACATACAGACGAAGAAAATCTGATTTAAGGAATCTGATTTTTTTCACTATATAAGTATTGAATCATAGTCATCGCTATCTTACAGATATTAAAAAAACTTTATAGTTGACATATTATATTTTTCTATCAGCCAGACTCCGAAGATGTCCTCAGAAGGTAATAAAAAGTACAAAGATCGATCGATTGCCATTTGAACTCTAGTTTCACCCACATTCACTTTAAACCCTAGTACTTCAGCTCAAACAAATAGTCTTTATGTCAGTAACAGAAAGACCTTAGCTAAGAGAAAATAATTTCCGAGTCATTCCCTAGGAATTATGGACCTTTTCCGCCCCTTTAAGATCGGAGGGTTCCCAAGAAATTTTATAAATGGCATTATGATGAGGGGTTTGTCGCCTCCACACTTTATGGGGACAAAAATGACATTTACTGCCTGTCTTGTGTGTGGGCAGTTCTTAAATTAAGTTTGAATGAATGTAGGTAATCTTAGTTATTAATGTGGCCCTCGGTTATAATATTCTCCTGTGTATTTGCGAGCATTTAAGAACATCTTAAATAATATTATTTATGGAATACACAAAGTATTTTGCAGCCATTGCTCAATTGATCCTGTGTTGGATGTCTTTAGAAACTCATCACAACAAGACTGGACACAATTTGGGGACAGGCACTGAGAAGTGTTCCGTGCTAGAACTAAACATGCGATACATGCACTTTTATCAAATTCTTTTAAAATGTTCCTAATAACAGAACAAAACACATTTTTAACTGGACGGTTGAGTCACCTTGTCCCAAGACATTTACATTTGATCTTTTAAAAAAATAACGAATTCATAGTTACGGTGCGGTAATCGTCAAACTCTCATTGAAATGAATTTTCAGCCATTAATGTTGAAAGTTCAACTACAAAAAATAGATACTAATAAATTACCCACTATCTACAATAGCTGCAAATAAATCTAGCCTTTATTATCTTTTACAAAGATTTCATTTCGCTTTTGTATGTGACTTTTCAATATATTATTATCCATTGTTAATACATACGGCTACTCTTCAAGCTGTGTAAACCCGTATAAGCTGACCGTTAAATGTACAGAATGATTATACAAAGCGAGGTCATTATAAGGTAGTCAGCTATAGCCTGAATTGTAGCCATTTGTGCATTCTATTTATTCATATTATTACAGGGAAATATATTAATATCATCTATGCAATACACCTTTATCTATTGCTTTGACTGAGTTATAAATTATTTGAATATGTTAGGCTGCCAGCGCATACCGCTACGCTATATATTAGAGATATTAATACGTTCTTTCTGAGCATCATAGGACTAACAACTGGCTAGGACCTTAATAAAAACATGCCTGAAAATGCTACAGACCCTTTAAATAATAATAACAAAGATTTTTATGAGGAAATAACTGAATAAACCAACAGTGGGATAAAAAATTAAAGCCAACGTATTTTTATTCAAACAATATGTCCCAAATTTCGGACACCTTTAATTTCAGCAAGATAATGGCTCATTTAATATGAGTGTCTACGTATATGGACTTCATAATTATAAATTAGGCAGCCATGTTTATTAAGGACTGTCAGACATTACATTATAGTCCATATTATTTGTTAAATATATCCCTCACTGGATTAATTAAAATTTTTGGACCCAATGCCACCCCTTGTGGTATTTTTGAGCACAAATATTAGGTTTATGAGGGCAATTTTTATCTGTGTGCGAAGTTTGTATACGTTAGCTGTGTAAACAAAATTTGGATTGTGTAGGTTTTTGAAAATATTTACAAGTCAAGTTATTACAGTCTTGCCTGTGTCTGATACGCAAATATTTGTGGATTTATGTTTAGGTTAGAAGAGAAAATATTTTGCTTATGTTTGGCAAAGATCAATAAACGACTAGAATGGTATTTTGCGATTTAATTAAACCACGCAAAAAATATTTAAACCTACCACTGATTTTATTCTTTTATATTTGCTTAAGTACAATAGAGCGCCAAAGGGATATTCTATACAAAACACGCCCAAAAAAATAACAAGTCCTATTTAATTATTGAAAATCCCAATGCTTGTAAATAACGCTATATTTTTTATATGGTACTATATTTATCTGGTATTTCAAGTATTCATTTCTATCTAAGTTGTCAGGCTGTCAAATGACATTTTCGTACATAAATGTCGAGAACTCCATTTTGCACGTACCTGTGCCTATTTCTAGGAAGAATATAAGAAGCAGGGCTTCAAAACAACAACTAGACATAAAAGATCATAGGTCACAAGTCTGATTTGCGACCTTTTGACATTTATATTAGAGCTTAATATTAAACGTCGCTTAAGGCGCGGAGAAGCAAGAACCAAAGTTAATGAATGCACTACAAGTAGAAGCTTAAACAGAAACAATGATTATGTAAGCTAAATAGACTGAACTTCATCTCAGAATATCTTATAACTTAATTCAAGCATTATCTTCAGGCGAACTTTAACCTTATCTTTCTTGTTTCAGAGCCTAGTCTTCCGTGTGATGAGTCATCCGAAGGTGCCAGATTTTCAGCAGTGTGTGTCCTTTGAGGCATTTGCGAACCAACAACAAGAGCTGGCGTACAACGTGTTTTGTCTTGGGGCGGTGTATTTTCTGCCCCTGACAATAATCTCAGTTTGTTACGCCTGCATATTTTATGAAATATCAAAAAATTCTAAAGAGAATTCTGGTGAGTTGTTTGAATTTTTCTAAGTATACTTATTTCTTTACTTTTAGGGATTACAACAACGGAATTTCTTAACTATTAACTTGATTACTTGAGTAGCCTAATAATAGTTATCTTCGGTAGATACATTAAATACTATGTTGTTTCGATTTACAATGTCAACTATTTTGATTTATTAAACGATCCCTATCAAATACCTATCGGTCGTCCATTTTCGTAACAAAATACGCCGAATAACCTTAGTGTCTAAGTGTGGGAGAGCCATGCTTCAGCACAAATGGGTCGGCTTGACGGGAGTGATACCACGGCTTTAGAGAAAAGCGGCGTCAAATAACCGAATCACTTCTCCTCCGAAGGCTCCTTTTTCCTCTCCCCCAGTCCATCCCCAATCCCTAAATCTCTAATCACCACTTTTGGTGCGGGCAATGCACCCCTGACACCTCTGGTGATGTGGGTGTCCATTACGCCTGACGCCCAAAAAATACCAAGATTGTTTGATAATACATTCTTATACAATGAGTAAGGTCGTGTTATTTTATTAATTTGAGAATAATTAGCATTCTGGTTGTTTACGTTAAATATTAAATGCTCAAGGGCCCGTGAGAATTTAACACGACAATATTGTCCTACTATATTATGCTTTTATTTTGTTACAACTTGTAAACTCCTCATTTTTCCTATTATTTTTTTCATAATATTGAAGATGTTTATTTCTTTTGTTAATAGGTAATATTGTACAGTTTTAAAATTTTAAGTGGAAATAAATTATAAAGTAAAAAAAAATTAAGTTTATTTCAGTTACAAAAAATAATTCAAAGACTGTTAGAAATAGTTTTAGGTGTTAAACAATATTTAGCTAAAGTAATTTTTTTATTATAGATACTAGCTTCCGCATGCAGCTTCGTCCGTCCATATAGGGTATCACCTATCTACATTCTAAATTTCAACCAAATTGGTCCAGCCGTTTATGCGTGACGGAATAAGACCGTACATCTCACAAACTTTTACATTTATAATATTATTAGGTCATTAATTTTTAATTAACTCTAGTCTGTGTAGGTCTAACTATACCATTCATAAATTGTGTATTGTAAATAGTTCATTTTTCATTATTTCCAGAAAAATACCACCAATCAGATCACAGTAGAGTGATGCTGAGGCGATCTGACCAGAGGCCGCTGGCTCGAGCGCGAAGAAGAACCCTCCGTATGACTGTTACCATAGTAACTGTTTTCGCTTGCTGCTGGCTGCCTTACGCTACCATGACTTTATGGTAAGTGCAAAAATGTATATTTAAAAAAATACTAAAATTCAAATAAAAAAATTCTAAGATCCCAAATTTAAGGACGACTCAGTCCATATTTCATTTACTCACACAAAATACTATTTAAAGTTCAAAGACTGGCTACTTATTATTCATGCTATAAAGTTCATTATTGCTATTAACTCGTGCTTTTCTGTGTCAAAAACCCTTGCTCTATAATTGCACTTGACCAAACAGCGGTAATAAAGGCTACAATAGCTAGCAATTTCCATTTTGGCAATACATTCCTTTATAATAAAGTAGTTCAGCTCAACCTACCCCAGTTTCGCACGAGTGCAATACTGAATTACACCACAATTTAATGGATGGTATTATACTTATAAACCTTCCTTTTTATTAACTATAATTATCTATTCGACCGCATCAAAATCCATTGCGTAATTTTTACCCGACTACGGCAAAGCAAAAAGGAGGGTTATAAAGATTTAAGCATACATAGGCAGATTTAAGCATATATAGGGGCATAAAAAACCACTCTGTTTTATACTATGTAGTAAAGTATAATTTCTACCTAAGATGTGTTATGTAATACAAATTCTATCAAACCTGATCCAAGGGCCAATCTTGGTTGAAACTACATATATATATATAGGAATGCTACACAATGTTCCGAGCTCAATGTTCTCCAATAATGGATGACGTTTTGTGACGCAACCTCCAATAAATTGTGATATAGTGAACCAAATTGTAGGGTCTCCCATATACGTTGATTAGTCCTTGTTGTTATATTTTGATTTATATTATTATCACTCGTATATTGTTTCTTATATATCAAGGAAATATTATGTTACTCAGTTAATTAAAGTGACTGAATTTCACATCCAACAATAAAGACCGCTGACTTTCATGTCCTTTTATCGCTACTAGCGCCAAAATACCATAAAGTAAATTTCGACCAGTCTATTATCTATAGTCACACATAATTAGAGGTTCGATTGCCATTAGAAAAAGAAAATATACACTGTTCTTTTTTTAAACCTAAACGTGAAGTTAGTTTTTTAACAGTTCAAGAAAATACATCCTAGAATATCAAGCTCATCTTTTTACATTTTCATGTGATTTGATATACAACGCAATAAATCCATATTGGTCTACACACCTGTCTTATTATTTTAAAGAACCTTCTCGTAATAGACGAGGACACAAGCATCGTTAACGCCCCTTCAAATGACCCGCTGTTATATATCAGTAACAGGGTTGGGTAGTAGTCATTATATTATTTTAAACGATTTTTTTTTTCCTTAGCCAAATTTCTTTCTAATGTTACATTGCATCTCAGATTATTTTATACCAAAGCTTTGACTAGAGAATTTTGGTCATTTGTGAGGCATTCGCCGATAGTGCAAACGGACTTTAGACAACCTTAATCTAAATGAAATGCAACACAAACCGTCGACTATCCATACTATTGTGGAATTGCATCTAGGGACAGCCCTCGGTTAGTTTAGAACTAGGTACTGAGGATAATAGAAACAAGAGATAGTAAGGCTATTTGGTGTGGCTTAGTATGGACTGGTGTAATGGGAGTACTGAAAGGACTATGGCACCAGCCGAAATAAAGTGATAATTACTCGTAAAATAGCAAGTGGTGACTCGGTAACTCACCAACCGAAGATCCTGGAATAGTTGTTAGAATTGTCAACAAAGGTACAATAGAAATGTCAGTGACTGTAAGGTCAACAAACTGCCGCCTATTTAGATCATTTAGGTACATTTACCTAACACACTGGCTTATTTGACGTTTAAAAGCAATTTTCGCCCTCCAAGCAGCCTCACTTCTCTCGCGACTTGGCTTGTGACTGCCAATGAAAGCAAGCCAGAGGTGGCAGACCTGTGTGTTTCTCATAATCGTTCACTCCAGTCAGACGAGTAAGGCAAGCGCTTGAAGTAATTTTAGCCTGAATGATCGTTAATTAAGAAAGCTTCAAAATGTCCTGCGGCCTTATTGTATTACTATTCCAATAACAATTATTTTGATTAAAAAGAAAAAGCCTATTTCAGTCAACGATATAAAGGAATTAGGCTATTGTACATTTATTTATAGTTCGTGAAAGTAAACATAATATCCGGAATTGTTTATTTCTATTGAAATTTATTCCGATCAACATCTGAAGTAGTTGTTCAAACAATTATTTATGGATTCCTTTTATAAGGTAATGTGTTTCTTTGTTTTGACTTGTATTGCGGAGCATTTTTATTAATATTTTTACTTTTATTTTTGAGTGATCAGGTCACTCAATGTAAGGGGCTTTGGGGTCGTGCTATGACATGTTATAAAAATCTTTCACAATTTCTATTTTGAAGGTATTCTTACAGATCTTATACCATAGGTAACTTGTCTAAAGGCCAAGTACTAGTCTAAAGATAAAACTTTGACGAAGATTTTAAAAATGATGTTCATCTTAGTAGACCTTTGTTTCAATACGAAAATTCGTAACTAAACAGACTTTAGCAAAGTGATACCACAGACTCATCATAACCTTTATTTGTGAGGGTTTTTTTTGTAAGTGGAAAATCATCAAAGTCAAAGTCAAAGTCAAAATCATTTATTCCAACTAAACTATAAATAGGTACTTTTCAAACGTCAAAATAGAGAAGTAGTCTGTCAGTCTGTTCGTCAGTGAAGCTAGGTCAAATGACTTCTCCCGCCCAGGGCCGGGCGGGAGGGAGTGTCAGACTCTTACTGACACCACAGATGGGGCCCTAAAGGGCTGATGTTCAGCCGGGGTTGCGAGGTAAGCGCAACGAGGTACCGCGACCTCGGCACAGAGCAGGAGAAGGAACAGGGGGGTTTTTAGTCAGTAAGAGTCTGACACTCCCTCCTGCCCGGCCCTGGTCGGGAGAAGTCATTTGATGATTTTCCCCTCACAAAAAAAAACAAAAAAAAACCCCTCCTTCTCGCGTCGGTTTCCTCAGTGCTGAGGGTCGTGACCACTTCGTGGAAGCAGTGTACTGCGTATTACTCTCCGCCATCTATTTCTATCTGCCGCCGAGTGGAGAGCATCGCATCGCGGTACCCCCAATACTCTTGAAAATCGTCATTTTTTATGTGTGTTGTTACGTGTGGTTACAGACGGCTTAAAAACTCCATCGCAATGGCCTTTGAAGGAGTAAATGCGTGCATGAGCATTTAATAGTCTAGTTATCTACATTGTTACTTGTTTGCAAACCTATATATCTTAATAAAAAATATAGGTACCCTTATCTCAGATTCAAACTGGAGATAAATATTTCCATTCCGAAAAATAATAATATGAATTGATTTTCATTAATATTCATTTATATTTTATTTTATTTCTTCCAGGAAACAGTTCTTTGTTAATAGTAGTACGAAAGCATCATAAATAATTAATAAAACCAAATTCCAGCAAGTAGACTTGTACGTTACTTTTGCTGTTCTCGCAGGATCAACGATATTTTTACTTTTGCATTAGCAAATTATTATTTTTAAGTATCTTATTTTATTTTAGACAAAAAGTTGTCAATTAAGTTGAGTATTTGACTGAAATGTAAGTAGGTTCCACCAGAGTGACTCAACGGAGGCCTCGCAAAAAACCAGTGTGAAACTACACGTCCGATATCTTTCTTAGTACAACCAAACAAACCCTTTTTATCTCCAATCCTCAAACTCCTTACCCACATCAGACCGGCAACGTACTTGCATCTTCAGGCGTCTATGGCTGGCACTCACCATCAGGTAATTCGTAAGCCTCAAGCCGTCCAGTCCGTAAAGAATTATGCCAAAAATTATGCCTAATTCAACGTTGACTGTTATCTGTGACCTAAACAACGTGAATTGTGAGTGTGTGCGTGGATACTGTTTTTTCTGCCATCTTGAGGATTCAATGTAAACAAGAAGAATTCAGGACAAATTCTAGAAAATCTCGCTTAATAAATAAAATAAATAATACAACCTGATTTTCAACGTTCAAAATCCCAGTAAACATGTTTCAGAGACTCACTCCTGTAAAAATATTGTTAAGGTTGTAAAAACTCGATTACCTAGGCTCAGGCTGTTGTTTTAGGCCCTAAAATTATCCTGAATTGAATGTTTGGTGTTAATGTTATTTCAAAAAGTAGGATACAATTTGACTGTTTGTAGAAAGATAAGTTTCATTTAAAATATAACAATGTTTTTTGTGAGGGGAAAATCATCAAATGACTTCTCCTGCCCAGGAGTGCTCTTTGATTGGCTCTTTGATTGGCGGGCATATTGGCTCTTTGAGGCGCGGAACGCTACGCGCCATTCGCTCGGGAAAATATGTATAACAACGGTTTTTTTGTGAGGGGAAAATCATCAAATGACTTCTGTAAGGAGTGTCAGACTCTTACTGATTAAAAACCCCCTGTTCCTTCTCCTGCTTTGGGCCGAGGTCGCGGTGCCTCATTGCGCTTACCCCGCAACCCCGGCTGAAAATATACATTGATACATAGTTTATATTAGTTACAAAGTTATTATTTAATTGTTACACATATTAATCCTACGATATTCCAAACCTTTTTAAAGCAAAGCATGCAATAATCAATAATAATAATAACCAGGATTTGAATTTGACCATTGCGTCATTAAATATAACAACGGTAAGGTGAGGAAAAAGAAGGTGACTTTTGGAGGTTAGAAGTTGTGTTTCTAAGTTTTATATCGAAAACTAGCATATTAATCAGAGGCTTTTAAAATAATCTAACACATAGTAACTATCGTTCGTAATAGATATTAAATTTATTTATACTTCTATACTAATATTATAAAGAGGATTTTTTTATGTAGGGCGTAATCTTTGGAACCGCTGGTCGGATTGCCAAAATTCTTTGACTGATAGCTGATAGCTACAATGTTCCTGAGTGATATAAGCTATAAGACATCACGCTACGATTAAATGGAGCCGAGCAGCGGGTGAAACCGCACAAGAGTATAAAATGTATATATATAAAATTAATTAATTAATTAATTCACGTGATTACGTGAATTAATACTAAACTGGTATTACTACACAGCCCTTCTTGAAACAGCACGTATTGACTTAAACTTGCTCAGTTTCTGTCTTTGCTTGACGATAGCTTGGACTATGTATCCGCTGTCGGCCGGCTTCTATTTTTATATTTTTGAATATTATTTTATTATAATAATATTTGAAACTATAATTCCCATACATACCTTATTGTTTAAACTACTCTATTTTAAATAAAATAGGTATGTGAATAATAATATAACTTAACTGGTACATATTACATGCAATTAATTTGTACACTTGCATTAATCAGAAGAGAAATAATCAATTAAATATTTTGTATCTACCTAGAATAAACAGTTGTAATGAAATTCCCATTAAAATTTTCGCTATTAAAGCTCATTTATATCACACAATTATCTTTAATAATTATACAAAAGCAATTATTGAATTTAATAAACGGGTGCAGTTTCATGATACCATATAGTTGTCTGTCGTTTTGAGCAAATATAAAAATACAAGAGAGTGCTTTAGAGCAAGCTGCTATGCAAATTTGCTTTTAGCTAGACGAGAACTACCAGAGATTATATTGTGACCAATTGATTCTCCCGGACGGTGACATGCCCAACAGATGTCAACCGTGCCGTCCTTCACAATAAATCTCCAGTCGTCATGATAACTTCGTCCGTAATTGCACAGCCAAACCCCTTCGGTTTCCCCAGAGGTCAAGGTAATTAAGCAATTATTTTATACAATATTATTGCTTTAATAATAAATAATTGTATGCAACAGGCAAGGTACTCGCCTTATGAAAATGAGGCTTTCCATATATTGTCGAATAAAAAGGTTAAATATTGATTTCATAACTTACTAACCTTTACGGTTGTGTATAGACAAAACAAAATTTTTTTCTGCTGGTGTCTGTCATATATTTAGGTCGCGTGATAGCTAGGTATAGCTAAAAAAAGTATTATTGCACTTTTGAATTTTAATTTTAAATTTCTTTCAGTTATAATTTTTTTTATCTTGTTGATTATCTACAATTGTAACGAAGGCCTTTCTTGCCATAACAGACATGTCAGTTCGAGCGTCAACGATCTCGGCAAGTTCACGTACGTTTAAAGGTTGCTAACTCCCCTCACTTGTTGACCCGGTTACAATAGGTATTAAGATAGGGCCAAATTATTTAGTCTAGCCTTAAATATTATATTTCTAGCATTTTTGCTCAGCCTAAAACTTTGTCTTGCGGGCTTTGTGACTTAGTTTCCCAGAAATTCCTTTTAAGTTTTTGAACTTGTTGTGCCTTTACTTTTTTTTGTAAATTGTCAAAATTATTATTTGTATTCTGCTTTGAAATATTTACTAATTATTTTGTTAGCTTTTGAATGGAGAGGTCATTAACCTCTAATGTCTCCGATTTTGATCGTCTCGCAACCTATTTTAAGTTTAATTTAAAATATTTCTAAAATATCTTATAAAGTATTTTTGTCTTTCGTTCTTAGTACTTTTAGTGTTCTTAAGTGGTCTGAGATAAAATTCTTATTTTTTGCTTCGGAAATAAGCGCTAAAAGGCGAAGGGACCTTCTGAGAATTATCCATACTTCGCACTATTATTAAGTACTACTATTATATATTAGCAGATTTACACAAGACAGATTTATCGCCGTCCATTAACAAGTTTTTTTTCCTATCATGCTAATGCTAATGGCAAGTTAGCAAACATTAAAAATAAAAAACAATCGTGAAGCAAAGCTTGCATTGTAATATCCTTTTCCAGTAGAAGGTTCTCCAAATTTCTCCAATTCTTTGATGAGGAAAAATCATCAAATTATTTCTTTCACCCAGGGTGGCGACTACCTAAAAAACCACAACGTCCTTTTGCTTCAAGCCGGGCTGGGGTACTGATTGAGCTTGACCCGCATCCAAGGGATTAGGTCTTATTTAAGGAGGCGTGGCGCGTCGTGTAGTTCGTCATCCATTACCTATTATATTCATCTGTTTGTGTTTGCAAAGGCAACGATACAGCATGCTATTGCAATATATTATGTCGAATCATCGCTAAGCCCGACGTGTGTCTAAATGCGACCTTAATGTTCCGGCTAATAGGCGGGGCCCTATAGGGCTGATATTCAGCCGGGGTTGAGAGGTAAGCGTAATAAGGGACCGCCGCCTTTGCCTAAAGCAGGAGAAGGAATGGGGGGTTTTTAGTCAGTAACAGTCTGACACTTTCTCTCGCCCCACCCTGGGCGTAAGAAGACATTTGATGATTTTCCCCCCACAAAATTGGTTTCGGCTAATAATGGGAGGTACAGATTGCTTACCATCAAGCAATATTTCTACCCGTTATTCGCTGTTTCTCATAAAAAGAGACGAAATCCCCCAAATAATCTACGATTTTGTGGAAAATTTCAAATGCAAATATAGACTTTAAGTTCGCACCCGTATGTTTGAAATTATAGATGGTAATAAAACGAACCATGCACCGCCGGTATAAACTTAAGCTATAATAAAATATGAGTTCTAAAAATAAGTAAAATAGATACGAGAGTATTTGAAGAATCCTTGTTTACGATATCATTATTTATACGAGCTTTTGAACCCCGGCTGTCATGTTGTTCGGGGTGAATGGATTCCTTTGATATCAGTCCTATGCAATACATTTTTAGAACTTACAGAAGTACCAATGTCACTTTTCTCAAGACATTTCTAGATTCTATATAAAGTTTAAATAAATAAATTACGCACACAGGTAAACATCGTCAGGAAACTAGGTCATATGATTATACATATACATATATTATACGTATATTTTTATTTCAAGTTTGAATCTAAAATCCGCCTTGTGTTAAAAATTCAACAAACCTATGAAATCGAACTATTCTACCCGAGACCCCATTAACGTCTTATTAAGCCCTCTTTATCTCATTAGGTTTTAACAAAACTCAATTATACAACTTTGAGTGCCTAGTGCATAGTAATCGACTTTTTCTCTGAGAAACGGGACTCTTTACATTAGTGGCCATTACTATGTAACTAAACTATATATAGGTATTGTAAGTGGACATTAAATTGAAAATTGGATGCAAATTTTGACGATAAGAATAAATTGGTTAAGCTGTTGGCTGTAAAGCCTAATAACAAAGCTTTATATCAGAAAACAGTAATAACAAATATGGATTTTTGTGTTAAAATAATCTCCCACGCATTAAGACTTTTTTCAGAACAAAATCGAAATTTAAAATAATTATAAAATATCTCTGAGTAAAACAGTGAGAAAATTACAATTTGATTTTCTTTTACCCAGGTACATGTTAGATCGCAAGTCAGCAGTCCACGTATCAGCGAGGGTTCAAGACCTGTTCTTCATCATGGCAGTCTCCAACTCGTGCATGGATCCCTTGGTCTACGGCTCCTACATCATAGACCCGAGGACCTTCAAAAGAACTATTAGGAAGATCTTCTGCATCCATGTCAGCCCTTCAGAAATACCTGGTGAGTTTTATTTGAATTTATTTATACTTCATCTGATACCTACTTACACATCAGGTTATCAGACCAAGAGCCTGTCTAAATAGTAAAAATAGTTTTTGCGAATTTATTTCGCAATTCAGTAACACGTGAAATCTTATGAAAGTAGGTCTCTGCACAGGCGATAAAAAACTCGCGATTTATATTATGTGATTGCACTTAAAATTAACGCGGTGTGATGCAAAAATAAATCCACGCGAATTTTATTCCGTTGTGCGGACAGACGCTTAAGGTCACTACATTATTTCCAAAAAGTCAATCATGGAGTGGTGCATACAAATAATCACTACATAGTATAAAACAAAGTCGCTTCCTCTGTCCCTATATCCCTATGTACGCTTTGGAACTACGCAACGAATTTTGATGCAGCTTTTTAATGTTTAGTTTAAGGAAGGTTTTTAAGTATAACAAAATCCATTTAATATTGAAGAAAGATTAGAATAATATAATAGGCTTTTTTAAATTTATATCAATAGAAACAAAACACTGTCGCTGGAGTCATGGACATTTTTTGGCAAACGACTCCTTTTTAATGTGGTGCTAATATGTAGCTCGTAAAAAAAGAGTTGTATTGATAATGTAAACTTTTTTATAATAATTACAACCTATAAAACTTGTTAAGCATGAAATCTAGAAAAACTTATAAATATCTCCTTTTCATTATATCTTCTTATCTCGAACTTCTTAATTAAATACCTAAGTATTTTTCTGTTTCTTTCAAAGATTCCAGATTCCAACTTTGATTATTATTTTCTTTATACAATTCGTGAAACCCGAAACTTAATCTAGATTACATTCATATTATACTTTTCATATATTATTTATTTAAACGTTTTTGTGTTTTTGAACTCTAGTAACTTACAAATGTAATTTAAAGTCAATTATTCTCAGCTAAAATCACGACAGACTTTACTGAGTAACATAGAAAGATGGGAGTAGAACAAAACAGCAACTGCGGTCTTCGGAGGCCCAACCCTTCCCCTCTCCAATCCCTAAATCTCCCAAATCCCTATTCCCCAAAAGATCAGCAACGCACTCGTAACTCCTCTGTTGGGCGGCGCTGATTGCTTACCATCAGTTAATAAGTCTGCTCGTTTGCCGACCTATCACCAAAAAAAAGTGCGTCCTCTTGTATTTTGGTCTAATCACAAACCAAGTCAACCAACCAACCAATTCCCAAGTGCTGCTGGGCTGCAACCGCTTATATAGCCTATGCCACCCTAAGCAACGGTCTCCGGTCGGCGAGCAAAGGTTGCTCACCACTTACGCCTGACACGAGCCTACCCTCTAGAAGACGAAACACTCTAGGAGAAAGTACCCTTGGGCCGATATCCAGTAAGGGTTTTAGTTCAAAGCGCAAAACGTATCGCGGTCCGGGCTCGGACCACGAGAAAGAACCTGTGGTTTTTAGTCAATAAGAGTCTGACACTCTCTCACACCGGAAAATTACGATTGATTATAATTATTACGAACATTTAAAAAAAAATCATAAAAAATGATCTGTAGAGCACAGATATTTAGCATGCACAATAAAGACACAGTAGATACAGTAACTGTTGAATGGACTGACCCCCAATCCATGGTGACAGAAGTTATGGCTTCTGCCCGAAACAATCGTTAATACGCATGTCTACATCTAACCTATCTAAGACATTATAATTACAATGTTAAACAAATTGTTTTGTAATAGAACAACGAATTAAATAAATATTAACCATTTCTCTTCCGTACAATAACTCATCATATTCAAATAGAAAGCAACTCAGGCCAAACAAAATATCCAACATTATATATTTGACTTCGTTTTCCGAGAATTTCCATCTAGTAAGAGACCATTTCATAGCATATCTTGTTCATTAAGTCCCTGTGTACTCTCGGTCCCTCCCTTTTGGATAAATAAACATAATTTTAATATTGGATATAACAAGGTCACACAGTTATCCGACAAAAAGGCTGCCAATAGTATATTTTTAACGGCTGATCTTTCTTGAGTGAGTTATATGAATTATGGAACAGTGTCCGAAAAAGACTGTTGATTCTCTGAGAATTTTACTGAAGGCAGAATGTTATTGAGGCCTTTCTTAATCCAGCTGTGGCCTGTGACTGCTCCTTGTCCCAACTACATTTAAGAGAATTAATAAAGTAGTTAAAATGTATGTTGCATTAAAATTCCGGGAAGCAATTGAGTACTTAGTTAAAGTATTATAATTGCAAGCAAACTTACTTTCACCTTTATTTCGAATGAGCTGGTCCAAATGGAGTGATTCCACGGCCTCATAGAATAGCGGCATGAAACAACGCTTGTGTTGTGTGAAGATTACTGGAGGATAAATTCTTTTCTATTCTCAAAATCACCTATTTTCTTTCCCCAATCTTCAAATCTTCATGTCTTAGGGGCCTTGTGTACGTCAATCCACAAAAGGCCGAGAGCGCACTTCTTTGGTGATGGGGCTGTCCATGAGCGGCGCTGATTGCTTACCATCAAATGAATCGTCTGTTCCACAATCATATAAATAAAATTTTTGAGAAGATCTGATTAATCTGTTTGTACCTAACCCGTTCATCCACGCTTTGTTAATTATAGTAATACAACAAACTTTTTACGAAATACTTAATAGATAGCCAGTAATATTTTTTAAATAAAATTCATGTCATTCTAATGGCTCAGTAAAAAAGTTTCAATCATAACTGTACTCAATTAAGCTTTAGCTTTTTTTTTCATTTGAATTTAATCTCAGACATTTCGCATTATATTATATCCCCAAGAGTTATTATTAATTTTGAAAAATGGGTAGTTTTTAAATGAATTCGTGAAAATTAAAATGTGTTTAACACTAGCTATAAGTGCAGGTTTTACTTGCGGCTTCACACTTATTCGTCATCGCAAAATTTTTACACCAAAATAACTATCAAATAAAAAAACCGACCAATTCAGGCCTCCTTTCTCTTTTTTGAAGATTTAGAAGATTAGGGATTCAGGAAGAGTTAGAGGAAGAAAAGGATTAGGCCTCCGGTAACCTCACTCACACGGCGAAACTCAATACTTACATGTTTTTTCACGCTGATTTTCTGTAAGGCCGTGGTATTACTCCGGTCGAGCCGGCCCATTCTTGCCGAAGCATAGCTCTCCCACACTTATAATCACAGTATCTATTTCAGTTCTATTGTGAATAGCTCCTCCAGTCGCCTATAATCGCATAAGGTGCCATCTACACTTTGATTGCATAGCCGCATAATTACTACGGAGATGCACTCTCTATAAGCTGAGACATAACATCCTTGTTGAATACTGACTGGAAATTTCTGCCTCAGAAAATTCCTTTAATGCCATACTTCAACGAATAGACTTTATTGGAGGTTCAACTTTGATGAATGAGAGAGCTATGTGAGTTTCTATTCTAAAACGAGCGTAGAATTTTTATTGAAAAATTTTCTATTTTTAAATTGAGTGTAGTTAATAATAATATGATTTATGACACGAATGAAAATAATTAATTAGTTAGCACTCACTGTTATTTTTTTATATAAGCTCAACTCGAATAAGTAGCAAAAAAAAGTTCTCTCACGGAGAAGTTTTCGTCTGCCTGTGTATACCTAAGATCTAAGCGAGACAGAATGTCGCTTAGGTCTACTATAATCACCGAAAAAATCGGTGATTTTTTTAAATTATAATTAGAAATTTACAATTTGATGTTCCGGGTCTCGGTGTGATAAGTGTGTATGTAGGAACGTAATTGTTTGATTTTAAACAGACAAAAGACGGTGAAGACGAGCTTAGACGAATTCATGTAAAAATATAATAACCTTCGTTTTCCAAGACAAATCCGATTTTAAATTCAACTCTAATTGTTCCAAACCCACATGTATGTTTGTAAACGCACCCACGATACAGGAGAAAAACCCAGTGAGCTTCTCATGCATGAGGGTGTGGGTTCGAAATCTGGCAAGTACCAATTTGACTTTTTCTGATTTATTTGTACTTTTTATGATTATTTAGACACCACTGACATACGGTGAAGGTTAACATCGTGAGGAAACCTGGAAATAATTATAAGTTTGAAATCACCAACCCGCATCGTGCAAGCTTGCTGATTAATGCTCTAACCTTCTTCGTATGAGAAGAGGCCTTTGCTCAGCAGTGGGCACTTATAGGCTGATGACGATGATGGTGATATTTAGATTACATACATATTTAACATACATATCACTTGAAAGGGGCCACTTTGGTAATTTCTAGATTTCAGACCCACATGTTTTAGGAACCTATCAAATTCCGGGTCATTGCGAAATAACAGGAAATAAGATATAAGATAAAAAAAAATATCAACTACTAGCTCTGAACAAAACTGTGATTCATTCTGAAGCTACAATTTACAAATGCGCCATATCGAAAGACATAAATAAACTGTATTACATTCACATCACGCGCTAAAGGAGGAAATGTTCTAAATCTTCGACGACGCGAGAGTAATCAATAGCACTCCGAAACATAAATGAATTTACATATGGTCTTCAGTATATCGATATTCAGTTTACTGGATAAAATTGTAGCAATTATTAGCTTTTTTTCTGATTCATATAGAAAAACAGTTATGGCCACATGCAGGTACTGTAATACAATATATTTTATGACACATTCTTTAAAAAAAAATGTAGGAGTGTAGATAAGGATATGGAGATCTTTCAGTAAAAAGTATCTATACTTTGAATAAAAATAAACAGTCGTGAAGAACATAGAAAAAGAAATATGTTTGTATCTAGTCTAGTCCACTTATGTATGTTTACTGCAACATAGGTACAGTCAGCTCCAAAAGTCGATGAACAGAATCAACTTTCCAAAACACCTGTTCACAATAAAATGCCAAAAGTTATAGTCATAACTAGGAAACAAAATAGCCTGTTCATCAGAAATTTACAAAAGTCGTTAAACACGACTAATTCAAAAGTATCTGTGCACTATAGTA